AAAATTGATTATATGTCAAACTTTTTGGTAAGTTGCTTTTTGTTAAATATTATATTAATTAAAGGAATATTCGTACTTATACAAATAAGATCAATCTCTTGTAATTTTAATAATAATATTTAAAGTTGCTGTAGAAGGAGTAAATTTCTCAACAAGATTCAGTTTCCACTAAAGAGAAGCCCAACACCAAATAGATAGCCCACATTTTACATATAACCTGTCATGTTATTTTGACACCCATATATTATATATAAGAAAAAACAAATTGTATGAGAGAGAGTATGCTAAGAAAGAAGGTGGCCATTAGCTTCACTAATCAGAACTTCCAAAAGGAAACCACTTGGACTGAAAAGATGACTGGTAAGCCACCAGCAGCAAAACCACCAGCAGCAAAACTGCCATGCACCACGGAAAACCTGCCGCCCCAACTGTCGACTGTGACGTAGACCGCCAGCCGAGCCGCCACGCCTCGCCAGAAAGTAGACTCGACTGCATTAAAACGACGAGCAACACGGGCACTAGAAGAAGAAAAAACTTGAAACCGACAAAAACATGGCTCGTTTGCTCCTTGTATGAACTGTACTGTGAGAGAGAGAGCAAGACGATAACAATGGTGAAAACGACCAGTAAAGGGAGAGGAGGGGTAGAAATGGAAGACAGCGTTTGATCTGTCGAACTTTGCTTCCATTCCTGACCTCTTCTGTTTGTGTGAATCCAATCCATTTTCTTTATCTTTTTTTTCCTTGCTATGAGATGTTCATTGTCTGTAAAATTATATAGGAATGGAAAAGCAGGGGTGGAGTTCTTTTCTGCTGCGATGTTGGCTTTAGAATATATGCTTTGAGTGTGGGCTTTCAATCTGCTTTGCTCTTGAATTGAAGTTTGCCAAAGATGCTGATTCCAATAGCAATTACAATTATAATGTGAATCAAATGTAAAATTCTTGATTCTTAAAGCAAATCTTCACATATATGCATATAAGATAGAATTAAACTTCAGAAAAGAACTCCCCAGAGAGCAAATGGCTTGGGATGATGTACAAATTAACTCAACTATGTGGGGGAATTGAGGCACCATTTTCCCCCTTAATTGATTCTCTTCAATTACTAACTTTCTAGTGTAAGAGATTAGTAGTCAGAAAAGCATTATTTGGCAAACATGGAACATACAAAATTGCAGGACGTCATTCAAGTGATGAAATTCGTAAAGATACGCCAGAAAGGAAAATTGCAATTATCGAATAATGGTGATATCTTCATGACAGCATACATTGACATCATAGAAATACATAATATTCCTTTTCTGCACAGACCAGACACAAACAAGGGGAGATAAAGCAGTACATATCAGCAAGCATAGCAAATGGTGAAACGAACGGTGACGAAAGCAATAAAAGGAATATTTAATATAATATAAAATCCCGTAAATGCTTACAACAAACGACCCGTTTCATTTGTCAACTGTCAGTTCTTTTGACACCAATGACACTGTTGGACGAGATAGCCTGCATACTTTGAGCTGAGGAACACCCACTCGAAGAACTTGCATCTGGAATGATGGTTTCTTTTATTTTTTTGGCTTTCTTTTGTTTCAAAGATTCCTGCACCACAATAACATAAATGTCATAATTGGTTCAACTGTTTATAGGACAGAACCACCACTATCTTAAATTTTAATCTTACATCGATAACGAAGAAAAAATAAAAGAAAGAAGGAAAAACGAGAGTCCTAAGAGTGTACTGAATATGAGAATGAATTGAAATGCAACCATGAAACTGATAGGAGAGAAAAATCCTCTGCACAAAAAAAAAAAAAAAAGTGATTTCTTCTTCTCTTTCTTCTTTTTTTTTTTTTCCTTTTGTGAAAAAAATACTATATGTGAATAATTTCACGTACTTGTTCAGGTATAGATCCAGGGGTTTTAAGCTCTAGATCCGTAGTAACGTCATTTGAGTCATCACTTTTCTCTATTCTACTCTCCCCATCAGAAGTTTTATACTTAGAGTCCTGTTTGCCCGAACCATGGGACCTGTTGTTACTTTGTGGCACAGCTTGAGATACATGCTGGGTCGAGTGCTGTTCAATCACGGAATTATGGGCCATGTACGGGACAAAAGTAGAGCACGGATTATGAACAACGGCTGGACTTTGGTTCCCATAGAATGGGTAAGGCTGTAAAGAAGGGTGCAAAGGGATTGGGCCAGCAGCCATGGGAGCAGGCATGGGGACAGGCACGGGAAATGGATAAGAGGGTGGATGCATCACAACAGAGTGATCCATTCCAGCCCATGGGTACATTGCACGCATTCTTTGCGAGTACTGAACATTGAGGTTCTCGATATCAGATTTGAGAGATGCCTTTTCTTCTCGGAGATCATTTTTCTCTTGAGTCAACTGCTCAAAA